GTGTGTGTGTGTTAAGGGTAAGATTTGAAACTCTATACATCAAACTAAAATGAGAAATTCCTAACGAGAGAAGAGTCACTACAAGGAAACAGCCTTTTTATGATGGTAAAATTAGTCACATAAACTTATATTTTTAGTTATAAATTGTATTTGTATTTAAAATTTAGTTAGTTATTGTTCGTTATAAATACTGAGTCACTAAGATTAATAGTAACTAATTTTAAAATCGTAACAAAAAATCATGATTTTATTATTTGTGACAAAACAATTGAACACAAATAGTGTTTGTTTTATAATATTTATATTCCGTTGCCAAAAACAAAATCTTTTAATGTGACAATAAAAATTGTCACAAATTTATTTGTGATAGAATTTTTAAGTTATTAATAATTTTATCTTGATTAAAAAAATAATTCCATAAAAATGAAATTTAAAAAATTTTCAATACAAATTTTAATATAAAATTAATTATTATTTTAAAAAATATATATTTAATTCCAATAATTTTAATTAATAATTATAATAATAAAAAATGTTTAGAGGCCAATAATAAAATTATTATTTAGCCCAAGCCCAATACTTCAGAATTTAAAAAATTTGACAAACATATTTTGAATCTTTCCTTATATAAGGTATTTGTAGAGTATACAATTTGTTTTTAAGCAATGTGAGAATTAGGCATTTTCTTATGTGGACTGTTTGATAAGTTTTATTTTTTATTTTTAGGTGATGTGGGATATGGGCATTTTCTTATATAGCCTAATTGAGACAAAAAATTTTATTACTTATTATTATTTTCTTTTGTGACAAATTGTATATATCATCACAAAATATAATCGTTACAAATCAAAAAGTTTAGTTACAAATAAATTTTGGCATATATGACAAAAATTAATCATTTAAAATTAATATTTTATTAATAACTAATAATTAATTTAGAGTGACAATTTTGATTGTAACAAATTCGTACTATTTATTGTGATGAATTTTTTGTGACTAAATATAAGTTTTATGTCAAAATTATATATTTGAATTTTGAAAATTAATATTAAAAATCAATATTTTTAATTGATTACAAATGTAAAGAAGATTAGTGAAAAACTAAAAATCAACCACTATTTTCAGCCACAAAAAATTCGATTTCTTGTAGTGAGTGACCCCTAACTAAAAAAAGAACGTTCTCGAGATGCTAGCCATTTAATTTGGGGAAAGAAAACAAAAATGTCATTGTGACGCTTTATTTTTTTTCTTTTGAAAATAGGCAATTGACATTGTGGCGCATTTGACTTTTGGTGGAGATTGTAATTATATTACAAGGTAGCGCCTGGTTCCATGCTGAACTTGATAAGGTTAATTGGTGTTTTAGGTGGAAGATAAAGAAAAAGAGAGAATATTATGGTCAGGTCTCAGGCAACCTTTTCTGACTTCTACTTTCATCATCTAACCTACCTGTTTCGCTTCTATTTTTAGCTTCTTGGGCAGGCTATAATCGGACTTTAAGAGGCGAGGGTGGCCATGCTGTTAAGGCCTGTTTGTGGTATATTACTAGCTTTATTAACAAAATTTTTATAAGATAAGTAATTGAGAAAATATTGTATAAAAAATTTAAAAAAAATTATATAAAATATTCATAAATATGTAATAAAATTTTATTAAAA